GAGTCTTTGGGGTTTTCTATGTACTCTGTCATATCATCTGCATATAGCAATATTTTAACCATCTCTTTGCTGATCTAGATGCCTTTTATTTCCTTCTCTTGTCCTATTGGCCTAACAAACATTTCTAGTACAATATTGAAAAGATGTGGTGAAAGTGGACATCCTTGTCTGGTCCCCATTCACAAAGAAAATGCTTTTAATCTTTCTCTACTGAGGATGATATTGGCTCTTGGTTTTGCATATATATACTTTTCACTAAATTGAGGAAAATCCTTTCTATTACAATTTTGCCAAATATCTTTTGCCTTATATGTATCAATTGCTAAGATCATATGGTTCTTATTATTTATTTTGTTAATATGGTGAATTACGTTGATTGTTTTTCTTATGTTGAACCATCCTTGCATACCTGTTATGAATCCCACTGGGTCATGGTGAATTATCTTTTTTATGTGCTTTGGATTCTATTGGCTAGGATTTGATTAAGGATTTTTGCCTCTATATTCATGAGAGATATTGGTCTGTAGTTTTCTTTTTTGGTAATATCTTTGCCTTGTTTTGGTATTAGGATGATGGTTGCATCATAGAATGACTCTGGGAGTATTCCTTCTTTTTCATTTTTTTAAAATAATTTAAGTAGAATAGATGATATGTCCTCTCTGATTTGGTAGAATTCAGCTGTGAAGCCATTTGGTCCAGGACTCTTCTTACGGGGAAGTCTATTCATGACTTTTAAAATTTATTCTTTTGTGATGGGTCTGTTCAAGTGTTTTATATCTTTTCTTGTCAGTCTCATCTTCGCTCATTAGTGTTCAAGGCCTCAAACCTGTTCCTGAGATGATTCTGAAATTCAGGTGGGATTAAATTAAAGTCATATTTTGGCTCCTGTGGATTCGGTTTAATTTTCCTCAGCTTCAGCTTGAACTTGCATATGAGTAGTTGGTGGTCTGTTCCACAATCAGCTCCTGGCTTAGTTTTCACACCTGATATTGAGCTTCTCCAGCGGTTTTTTCCACAGATATAACCGATCTGATTCCTATGCATACCATCAGGTGAAATCCATGTGTATAACCTGTGTTTATGTCTCTTAAAAAACATATTTGCAATGAATAAGTAATTGATTGTGCAAAATTCAATCATTCTATCTCCAGCTTCATTTCTGTCACCAAGTCCATGTTTTCCAACTACTGATTCTTCTTCCCCATTCCCAACTTTTGCGTTCCAGTCGCCCATTATTATCAATGCATCTTGACTGCATGTTTGATCTATCTTTGACTGTAAGAGTTGGTAGAAATCATCTATTTCTTCTTTGGCTCTGGTTGTTGGTGCATATATCGGAATGATAGTGGTATTCACTGGACTTCCTTGTAAGCGTATGGATATAATCTTATCACTCACGATGTTGTACTTCAAGATGGATCTAGAAATTTCTTTTTTAACTATGAAAGCAACTCCATTTTCCCCCACCTTTTCATCTCCAGAATAATATATCATATGATCATCTGA